TTTCCCTGTCCTTCCCCTTTTCCCACTCTCCTTTCCCTGTCCTTCCACCTTCTCCCAACCCCATTTCCCTGTCCTGACCCCTTTCCTTTCCCTTTTCCCTGTCCTTCCCCCTTCTCCCTCTCCCCTTTCCCTGTCCTTCCTCCTTCTCTCACCCTCCTTTTCCCTGTCCTGACCCCTTTCCTTCCCCCTTTTCCCTAAGCTTCCCCTTCTCCCACTCTCCCTGTCCTGACCCTTTTCCCTCCTCCTTTTCCCTGTCCTTCCACCTTCTCCCAACCCCATTTCCCTGTCCTGACCCCTTTCCTTCCCCCTTTCCCTGTCCTTCCCCTTTTCCCATTCTCCTTTCCCTGTCCTTCCCCCTTCTCCCACTCTCCCTTCCCTGTCCTTCCCCCTTTCCTCCTCCCTTTCCCTGTCCTGACCCTTTTCCCTCCCCCTTTTCCTTGTCCTTCCCCTTCTCCCACCTTCCTTTCCCTGTCCTTCCACCTTCTCCAAACCCCATTTCCCTGTCCTGACCCCTTTCCTTTCCCCTGTCCTTCCTCCTTCTCTCACCCTCCTTTCCCTGTCCTTTCCCCTTTCCTTGGCCCTTTTCCCTGTCCTTCCTCCCTCTCCCATCCTTTTCCCTTTCCTTCCCCCTTCTCCCACTCTCCCTTCCCTGTCCTTCCCCCTTTCCTCCCCCCTTTCCCTGTCCTGACCCTTTTCCCTCCCCCTTTTCCCCATCCTCCCACCCTTTCCCGTTTTGCACATCCCTTCCCACTCCCGGTGAATTTCCGGGAGCCCCGTCTGCTGGGTGAGGAGGAGGGGCTGTGCCCCCCTTTTGGGGTGCCAGGGCTGCAGTGAGGGGGGCCCTGCCCTCCTGAGCCTCTCCCCAGCCTTTCACAGCAGGGCTTGGCAAAATCACCCGAACAAAGTCACGGAATCTGGGGCAGAGCTGTGCAGCCACAGCTCCATCCTTCCTCCGTGGCCTCCCCAGGACCACGTGGCCTCTGCATTGTGGCCAAAGTGAAAAAAAAGCTGCAGTTTTGAGGCTAAAATCCAGAGAATCTGCTCAAGGGAAGGGCGTCCTTCCAGATGTTGAGGCAGGGCCTACCAAGCCTTGGATGTTGCTGCAGCAGGTTTAGGAAGGGGGACATTGCTCAGCTCTGTGGTGCCCTGTTGCTTGGTAACACTTGCAGGAGGTGGAGCTGAAGCCAGACTGGATTTGGAGCCCGATTTTCTGTTACAACTCAAGGCAGCGGGAGCGGAGCAGCCCAGTAGCTGCTGCTTGTCCTTCCCTGGAAAACAGGCTGCCCCTCTCCTTCCCACTGCTCCACAGCATCCCCTGGGATCCCTTCTGTGTGGTGCAGGGTGAATCCCACATAACCGATCACCCAGAGGTGTTCTGGAGCCACCCAGCTGGGAGCAGAGCTTACTCTGAGCGTGTCCCCGTGCAGTGCACACAGCAGGAAGCCCCCACTCTCTGCTCTCTGTCCTTCCATCAGATCAACCCAGAGGAAAGGAGACCCCCCCTGAGCCCTCGGGGGTCCCCTTCCCCTTTTCCTCTCCACCTCCTGTCACCTTTTTCTCCCCTCTCGCCACTCGTTTGGCACCACCGGGGCTGGGGGGCCGCGGGCTCTGCGTCGCAGCCATGATGTCGGATCACTCACTGTCACTCTGTTTTTGTTCCTTTTTTTTTTTTCTGTTTTATTTTATTTTTTTTGTTTTGTTTTATTTTTTTTTCCCTGTCTTCATTTCTGCATGCCACTGTTCTTCTGTATTGCAGCCACAGTAGAAGCGGTAGAGGCACGGGAAGGTATGGCTAGAACCCGGCGAGAGACTCAAATCATCTCCGTGTGTGCGTGCGCTCATTTTAAAGAGCTTTACCAGCCCTTAACGGAAGCTTTTTACTCTTGCATCACCAGAAGTGGGGGAGGACAAGGCCCTGCTGGGAAGGAAAAAACACCCAGGGGTTTGGTTCAAGGCTGTTGTGCAGCTTGAACAGTTTATTCCTTAGTGGGACACCTTTATTTGGAGTTGCCAAAGCGGTTCCTGCTGCGGCCGCTCGAGACCTTGGGCTTGAGGTCCTGCAATCTGCCAGCACCATCAAAACCCTTAGAAAACAGGATTTTGTGGTGCTGGTGTAATCCCTGCCTTCCCCACAGGTAGGCCAAGGTGGAGAGGCAATTCTCTGCCTGTAGGGTGTAGGAATGACAGATCCATGAGGATTTTTCCTCGATGCCAAGCGGGGTCATGCAGCTCTACAGAGGCTTTGCTTACCGAGGGAAGTTGTTTGTGAGCCAGCCAAGTCCTTGTAAAAGATTTGGCACAGACTCCTTTTCCTTAAATTCTCCGTAGCACAAAGGAGTTTCACATTTGGTCCGTGTCATCGGGGCCAGGGTGACGTGCTCGTCCCCGCGGTGATGGAACAGGGACATGAAATTCCTCCGTGGGATTCATCCCTCCCAAATCTGCCCGTGTGTCTCCTGGTCATGCAAGAATTTTGCCTTTGTGATCCAAGGACTAGCTGTTCCCTCTCCTGGTGTTGCAGTGTGTGGTTTGTGTCGGAGTTCAGAGCCTTGTGGTGGTGTCTTTGTTCTGTTGTTCTGGGTTTTGCCTTTTTTTTAAAAATTTTTATTTTCTTTTTAATTGTTATTTTTTAGTGTCGTGTTTTTCAGCTTTGAAATTTTCCTGAGATTTCACTCTCTGGGGACAGCAAGCACCTGTCTGGTTTATCAAGTTCCTCCTATACTATTAAAATAGGGAGAAGTTTGGGATATTGGAAGGAAATTCTTTCCTGTAAGGGTGGTGGGATGGAATTTCCAGAAAAGCTGTGGCTGCCCTGGAAGTGTCAAGGTTAAACCTGGGATAATTTAACTGGGTGATTTTAATCTCCCAACCCAAACCATTCCATGCTTCCATGAAAAGCTCTTAGGGAGCAGAGAAATTCCTAAACCTCCCTAAAAAGAACCTCCTTTTGGGGAGCAGAGCAAATCCTAAACCTCTCTAATCCTAAAAAGAAAGAACCTCATCTTAGGGAGCAGAGAAAATCCTAAACCTCTCCTAAAGAAAAAGAACCAGCTCTTAGTGAGTAGATCAAATCCTAAACCTCCCTAAAAGGAAAGAACCTCCTCTTAGGGAGCAGAGCAAATCCTAAACCTGTCTTAAAGAAAAAGAACCTCTTAGGGAACAAAACAAATCCTAAACCTCTCCAAAAAGAACCTCCTCTTAGCAAGCAGAGCAAATCCAAAACCTCCCCAAAAAGAACCAGCCCTTAGGAAGTAGAACAAATCCTAAACCTCCCTAAAAACAAGAATCTCCTCTAAGGGAGCAGAGCAAATCCTCAACTTCTTAGGGAGCAGAGCAAATCCTAAACCTGCCTAAAAAGAACCAGCTCTTAGGGAGCAGAGCAAATCCTAAATCTCTCCAAAAAGAACCTCTTAGGGAGCAGAGCAAATCCTGAACTTCCCCAAAAAGAACCAGCTCTCAGGGAGCAGAGCAAATTCTAAATCTCTCCAAAAAGAACCAGCTCTTAGGGAACAAAGCAAATCCTAAACCTGCCTAAAAAGAAGAACCTCCTCTTAGGGAGTAGGCCAAATCCTAAACCTCTTAGGGAACAGAGCAAGTCCTAAACCCCCCCCTAAAAAGAAGAGCCTCCTCTTAGGGAACAAAGCCAATCCTAAACCTCCCTAAAAAAAAAAGAACCTTCTCTTAGCAAGTATAGCAAATTCTAAACCTCTTAGGGAGCAGAGAATATCCTAAACCTCTCAAAAAACGAGCCTCCTCTCAGGTAGCAGAGCAAATCCTAGACCTT